AGGATTCTTGTCCAGTTTTAATTCATTTTGCTCAGCAAACAGAGCCTTGGGGAAACATCATGTCTTTACCTGTTTCCTAACAAGAAATTCCAGTGTTTCTCAATGAAAGCACAAATGTCTTCTTTCCACCTGAAGTATCCTTGCCGGCCGGTTCCTTCCAGAGACAAATTGTACATTGCCAGCATAACGACCTGGAAGAGAAAGAGGTGGATACCAGTGCATCTTTTCTGCTTCAGCTGGTGAGCTGTCACCCAGCCACGTGATGTCATACGCACCCAAATCTCTGCTGTCTCGTAAATTTCTTATTTTTGCAACATCTGAAGCAATTTCTGCAATCCGTCTTTGTCCTGCTTTCATGGTGCCCTTTCTAATTTTCCTATTGTTAGATGCACGTTCTGCCTGTTTTTCTGAGATTGCTCCATCCCAGGGGAATAAAAGCAGCCTAACTAGGCAGGTTTACGACGAGGCAAACTTTTGCACTGGGCAGTATAAATGAATTATATCACAACTGGGATCTGAATGTAGGGTGGAAGTATGAAAAAAGTCTTTCAGAAAGAAAAAAAAATCTGTGACAAGTAATCCCACCACCTTATCCATCAGACACATTGTCACCAGCAGTCTTTCTAGATACTTGCTGCTGCATTTCAAATTGAACAGAGGTTAAACTAGGTAAAGCTACTTGGCATTTACTATTCAGTCTTGGTATGGAAGGAATTAAGTTTGTCATTTCATTAAATGATACTTTTACAGATCTTCTACACGCTTCATAACCAAATTCAGTCTAAACTACTACAGGACAGGTTTGAAAAATAACACTCCTCTTTCTAAGTAAACCCCAGGTGACCAGCGGTTAAATATATTTAATGAATGCATTTGAATGCAACTAAAATCATAAAGCTAGGCTGCGATCGTCTTTAACAATCCCACAGCCTTGACTGGACACTACTTCTAAAGGGGACATATTGTTCACTGCCACAGAGGTTTGAAGTCTTGTTTTTGTTGTTGGGGGTTGTCTTGTTTGTTTGTTGTTGTTTTTAAACAGAGGTGGTCTCCTAGCAGTGGGCAGCTGCTTTTGAAAATACATCACTGAAAACACCAAGATTAAGAAATTATGAAGAAAATTGACAAAATTAAGAAATAGACAGCCTTAATGTCCCCTATACTCTATTTCTGGCTCACAAGCCCTCTTAGTGTACTATTTCTCTAGAATTTCGTATTGATAAAGTTAGGTGGGACAGTTCTTCAGAACTTTAAATATATATATGTGTGTGTGTGTATATATATATATCTTTACAACTGGCCATAAGGATCTGTTGAGGTCACATAGTCTGAAAAAAAATCAGAAATCACCTGTCCACATTTTTCCTGCTTCAGACAGATCAATTTTACCACTTCCTTCAATCTGTTGTACTCAGAAGCAGCAGCTCTGGCTGCTGGAGGTCCTAGGGAGACCTTCTTCTTCACCAGTTTAGATCCTGTCTTTCTCTTGCCCATGCCACTCTCCTTCCTATCTTCTGCACAGAGCTGAGCGTAACACTAGCAGCCTTTGCTTCCCAGGTCTGTAATCTGCTGAAACTCCACCACTCTGCCAACCACAGACAGCTCCTCTAACCTTTCCCAGCCCTGCCCTGGGCACCACCAGAAAGCACAGCAGAAGTTACAACTAATGTTTTAAATGAACTGTTATGAGGCAGGTGAACTACCAGTGTCCCAAAGGACAAAAAGATGTCTTGCCCCCCCTGCCCAGTGTTTGGCACCTGGAAGCACTTCAGGCAGCAGTTCCTGCTTGACCAAATCCACTTTCTGCAGAAGTGCTCAGCACTGCCTGCCCCTCCTCAAACTAAACCAGCCTCCTGCTCAGAACAAGATATTGTGCATCGATCTACCCCTGCAGCGGTTACTGCATAATGCAGAGTATTTTGATGGCTCGGGTGTGCAAGTGACTGAAACAGCAGAATTCCACAAGGACTACTGCTAGCAAGCAGGCAGCCAAGCCAGAGCTCTGCGTTCAGGGAGCTGGCAAGCTCTCTGTTTGTGTGTTGCTACCTCACAAGTTTTACATTTGTTCGTATATATAAAAAAAGCTCTTCATGCCTCGCAGCCAAATTAAAATTTGCTTCTCCAAACTTGCCCGAAGCCATGAAATTCATGAGCAACATGAATGAGGGAAAAGAAAAAAAAAAAAAAAAAGAAAAATGAGGAATGTGGTTTGTGTGATTATATTTCAATTTACTTGCCAAATGCTCAAGTTCTAATCTGCAGGCAATCCCTAGCTAATTAATTTCTGAAGTTCATGTATACGGTTCTTTGTCATCTATACCCAGTCCTCCTTTTCTAGGTAGTACATACACAACAAACAACAATTTTAGAAAGTCCTGTGGTTATTCTCCTGGCACAAACATTCGACTTACTTGTTGCCACGTTAATCTCAGCCGTTCAAATTGCTCCTTCCCATCTTCTGAGCAATCCGAGCAAGTAAATCTGAAAAAGTTGTCTCCTTTGAGGTAGCTGAGCTGTTCTCTCAGTTGACCTAAAATTAATAGGCAGATTTTTAAAATTAATAGATCAGATTTTTGGTCCATTCATAGGAAAAATAATTCCCTACAACATCAGGCAGGGAAGTATTTTTTCATGGAGTCCAGAGACTCCAGGGAAGACTCCTTGGGAAGTCGCTGTGATGTAACTTATGGATCAATTTTACAGTTGCAGCAGTCAGCAGGGACCAAGTGCTGAACCACAGGCATTAAAAAGGGGCATCTGAACACATGGACAAAGCCAAAGCATTTCCTCACTTCCTCTGCATTTTTCACTCCTTGCTTCCCCAGAATAATCCTACACACTGCAATAAATAACTGTTTCTCCACTCTACTTTAAAAAACAGCTGACTTGCTAACCTTCAATATAAGTTGAACAAAAGTGATCTACTGGGATAGAGACACCTATAAAACCCCACACATCCAAAGCTAAAGGCTCAAATTCTGTTTCTGCAGCAGAGCACTGGGGAAAAAAAAGATCAAGTGAATCAGGACTTCTAAACTCAACATTCATTAAAGAAATATGAAAAAATGAAATCACAGGACAGGGAAACAGTTAAGTCTATATATAATATTTCCAAAATTCACATACGAAAGGTCTTTCTCCAAACTCATTCCATCTCTTTTATTATATCACTACAGCGGATCAAGCACTTGCAATGTATGGCTGCTCTGCTTTTGCAGTCAGTTGCAGAATCCAACTACAAAAGTTGCACCAATGTTTGTTGGAGAAAGCCAAACCAACCGATTTGGCAGTTTGACAGAATGTTTAGATGGCAACTCAATGTGGCAAGGGATTATTTGCCTGAGCTCATTGGTAACTTTCGTGTCAATTGATAGATGTATAACTGAACAATTAGCAAAGAGAACAGCATTTTCTTTTTCCAGCTTGTTTACTTTACCCATTTGTATCTAGTTACTGTTGCTCTGTGACTGGCTTTCTCTGCTCTTCGGATTTGTTCCACGGCAACAAGAAAGAGGAACATCTTTGTAAAATTAAACAAATGGAATGTTAAATCGAGTGCTCTCAGGTGGGATACCTCATGTTACCTTTACTACCTTTAACTCTGATCTCTCTCTTTTTTTTTTTAATTAATACATTTCAAGTTAATGCGTCCCATTACCTGCACAGCATCTTAATGGTGCTATGCTGGCTCCACTCACTAACAGCAAGGTGCTCCCTAACCATGCCTTGAGAGGAGATTTCTACACTAGGCTCCTGGCAAGCTCTAGGATGGCAATAAGGGCAGCTCCGATACAGCTGCAAGGCAGATGCCAACTGAAGAGCTTGGTATTTCTAAACACAAAAGTAATAATAAGCACACACAAAAGCAGGTAATAAAAACCAGTGCTTAGCAATTTCTAGGTTTTGCATCTAATAACAGATCCAACAATGTAGAATCAGAAAGGGAAGCCAAGTCTATTACTTAGCTAACAGAATGTATCATATGTCAAGGAGCAAGAGCAAAAGGATCGAGTGATGTAGCTTGCTCCGAGTGCATCCCAAAGCCAGCTGCTAAGGGCTGGACATGCTTCTGTCAAAGCTGCACTAAATTCACATTCTGGACACACTTCTGTGAAAGATGAATTAAATTCACATTATCAGGAAATCGCCAGGGCTGAGATTTAGCCACAAACTCAGAAAAGGAAAAAGGTACCACCACCTACAAAGTCCTGCTCCTCCCAAACCTCTGCAGGAAGTGTTATCTTTACCTGAGAGGAGTGAAAGGCCAAGACCCTCGGCCAAAGTCCCTTAGCAAGCCAGTGCCTGACACACAGGAAGGTGTGCACGTTCCTGAAATCATCCCCTTGGTTGGTTACCAGTTAGGGCAAACAGTCCCATTTCTTGCAGGGAATGCCAGTCTCAGACACCCGCCTGGCTCTTGAGTCAGCGTGCCCACACGGTAAATCACAACCCTAGCAGTGTCAACTACATACAGGGAGGGCAACAAGAGACAGCAACACCACCCCCCTTACTTGCTGGAATCCACTTCTGGCACTTCTCGCAGTAGTAGGACATCTCCTCCATCCAGGACGCATCGCCCTCGTCGCTGTTCAGCGAGTCTCCGCTCTGGTCATGGGATAAATCCACCGAGGCCTGGTCTTCAGACTCCACAATCAGGAGGGTTTCTCCTTCCACCTCGCCCTCTTCCAGGCCCTCCGAGGTCGATGTCCTTGTGGCTTCATCGTCGTGGCGGCTCAGCAGCCCGCTCATGTGGACGTTATTAGCCATCCCTCACCGCCTAAAGCGGGACGGTGTTTGTGCTACAAGGAGCCCACCATCCCCACACTTACAAGCCCCTCCACGCTGGAGGTACCAGCCAGGTGTCCGCAAGTAATACTGCTGGAAGAAATATTTTGGGTATTCTCTATGGCTTTTGGAACAGGAATATAATGTATCTGAAAGAAAGCCTTTCAGGAATGTCTGTTTACTGAAATGCAAGTAGTTAGACACAAATCATCTCCAAACGCCTTTAGTCAAACCTCAAATGCCTCAGGTCCTGCCTAGGACTGCTGGGAGCCCTTCTCCATGAGCATCTTGTCTCTCTCTTCCTTAAGCTGCTTTGTCAAAGCAATCTGCTCTTCCAACAGGCGAATATTCTCCTTCTTCTGATGTTGTCGCTCCAGATCTCTGAGAACTCCTCTGTGCAGCCTCTGAAAGCACAAAGGGACAGGGTTCATCACAGCCTGTTTGGTTGAGAGTAACCAACTCCACCCCAGCTCCAGTCCCTCCCGCAGAAGTGCTCGCCATGCCCTGCTGCCTCTGCAAACCTTAGTCCTTTGCCACCTCCTGCAGCCACACCACTTAAAACTAAAGCTGCGGGAGGTGGCACCTGGTGTTGATGGTGCTGCAGCAAACCCACTTTGTTTGTACTCGCTTCAGATGGGTGCATTTTCTGAGCAGGAGAGACATTGGGCAAAGAAATGCTTTGCACCAGTAGCTCCCATGCTGCGCAGGGTGCACATGACCTGTAACAGCCTTGTACCTCCAAAACTTGTACCTCTGCTTGGAGAAAATTTGGTGGTAAACTGAAAATAATTTTAAGAAAAACTGCAGTTTGGCTTCATCTGCTTCTTTCTGCTTATGTCTTCCTCTTTAAAAAACAAACAAACCAAAAAAGGCTGGTACTTGCTGCAAGGAAGGTAAAAGTCCTACAGCCTGTCTACGCCAAGCTCTTGAAAAATAATGGCACTTCATTCAAAAGATGTACAAACCCTTTACCAAAAATGTTTGCTATAAATAAATTGTGCAACACAGACTGGTGGTTTGCACATAGATGGGTAGACCACCAAAGGAATGTAAAAAACCCTAAGAAAATCCTATGTAGTCTTTGTTTCCTCCTTATACTTGCCTGTGTCTGCTACCTGGAAGGCTTTCTTACTCAGCTAATGAAATGCTCGACCCTCACGTCTCACCAGGTGAACGCAGAATGAGCAAAACCAGAACTAATGACGGGGACTGGGATAGGGAAAAGGAGGGGAGGGACTATCCGGGAACCAGCTCTTCGGACTGCAGATGTACGCGCCTGGGAGCAGGCCAGGCAGCAGAGAGATATAAATGGAGGGATGGTGAGACTAAGGCACGGGATGGAGATGCCAAGACTGACAGTGACTCTGGGAGGACAGGAGACCACAGGGAGGGTTTAACTGGTTGGGCACCTTGCGCAGGGGACAGCAGCTGGGCCTGGTTCTGCAGAGGAACACAAAGCAACCTCGGTGGGCTCCGGGTGCAGGCACCCAGCCACTCCCGCAGCACTTCGGAGGCTGTGCAAGGCGTCCTTCTCAGCTCGGCTGGGGCTCCCGGGGCAGGCAGGCGTTTTTACGTGTTCAGACATTTACTAGGTGTCAAAGCAATAGTCAGAAGCTTGTCAGAAAATATCATGTGTGAGGGCAGAATATCCACATTACTTATTTCCCGTTGCGTTACCTAAAGAACTGGGTTCCTTAAACCAGAAGCCATTATAACCTGGACTTGAAGATTCAGAATTATAAAATGAAAATCTCAGATTTCATTTATAAAAATACAAGCTTTGAGCCTTAGGCTTTCTGAGTAGCATTTCACATCAAGTTTAAACTGATTGCTGGTAACATAAAACTGAGCATTTTGGCTTTGCTTCTGCAGCAGCAGCATCTCAAGGAATGCTCCTATCCCTGCAAGTACATAATTTGCATCACCTTCAGCTGCTGGGGAGATCTCTTCTAACTCTAGAGGCTGTGCTAACCCATCCCCAAATATACAGCTCAGGCACCTCTGAACTCCTCTGTCAGGTGTACATTTTGGGAGAAGAGGGTTTTTTTGGGAGGCAAGACAGACCCAGGCATGCTGCCTGGTACAAGATGTGGGAGCTTGCCTGTAGCCATGCAATTCTTTTTCCCTTCCTGGCATTCAGAGGCTGTGCCCTCACTTGGGTATTTGGATGGATAGAAAACAATAGGTTATTATTTTTTTTTTGTGTGTGGCAAGGGACAACATTTTAATTCACATATTCAAAAAAAATTTTTTTGCCCCCCAAAAAGGTTTTCCACTGACCAACTGGATCCTTTGGCTCTTTCATCTCTAGGAAACTCAGCAAAAGTGCCTATCTGCAGGCAGCAAAACATCACCTACCCACAGTAACGGCTGCTTCTAGTTGTGGGAAAATGTATTAAAACAGACCCATGGGGAGAAAATTGCCCATTGCTGTCGATAAATTAGGCAGCATTTGGTAGAGGTAGCATTTACCCAGACAGAAGCGGCCTCAGGTGTAACAACCAAAGCTATTTAACAGTATTTTGCAAATGAAACAACAAGAGGAACACACAAAGAGCTGCAAGTCCCCATTTACTTCCTGATGTCGTTAGGAATATATGAATCAACCAGAGGGCATCACCCATATCAGCTCATTTGTGGATGATGCTCTTTTTATTAAAGACATTGCATATGCTGGAGGAATGCACGTTACAGACTTGGACTTGTGCCCTTCGTTTACCCGTGGTTTGAGTTCGGATGCAGTCCCTGCACACCAGGGCACCATGCTCAGGATGAGCAGGCGCTCAGCGTTTGGTTTCTCGTGACTTGTTTAGCCTGTTGCCTGTGGCACTGTGTACTTCGTGATAAGCAGATCCTGCTTGGATGGTAGAGTGACTTATTTCCTTGAGGACTTTTCTATGCCTGTTGCCTCTTCATCACAGAATCACAGAATCATCTAGGTTGGAAGAGACCTCCTAGATCACCCAGTCCAACCTCTGACCTAACACTAACAGTCCTCTACTAAACCATATCCCTAAGTTCAACATCTAAACATCTTTTAAAGACCTCCAGGGATGGTGATTCAACCACTTCCCTGGGCAGCCTGTTCCAATGCCTAACAACCCTTTTGGCAAAGGAGTTCTTCCCAATCTCCAACTTAAAGCACCTCTTTCCTTCTCAGATCAGTCTCGTCCTCCAAGATCCCTTGTTCTTAAGTGCTGACAGGGACAGTATCTCTAGGATAAAATGTAATCTTGTCATTACGGATGGCACAGCAACAGGCACCTGAGCTGTGGTGTGGACTGGCAGCTTGAACTGTCAGGTTTGTAGCTCCCGACTACTTCAGACCTTTAGTAAAAGACATTTAACGTAAGACTTTGTGGTGTGTGTTTGGTGTGCTTTAAAACATCTACATTTAAACCAGATGCGTGCCCCCATCCTGGCACTCACTGGGCTCACCAGCAGAGCTAAAACCAGCTTTTTGCCCATGTGTCCACCACGTGCAGCTTGTCCCTTCCAAACACATTGCCCTGGGCCGGCTTCGCCCGCCCCCTGCCCACCACAGCACCTGACGCGGGGCCGCAGAGCCCCCCCCCCCGCCCACCACCCGCCCGCCTCCCCACAGGGCGCACACTGCGCGCCGCGGCCTGAGGCACCGGGGGGGAGCCCGAGGGGGCGTGGCCACGGGTGAGGGGGCGTGGTCAACAGAGACGAGGCCACGCCTCCTTTGTGCCTGCAGGTGAGGGGCGGGGCCGAGCCGTGTGGGCGTGGCCACTGGGCCGGGTGGGCGTGGCCTGCTCAGAGGGGGGCGTGGCCTGCCAAAGGGGGCGTGGCCTGGCTCCCCCCCTCCCTCCCCCGCCCCCCCCCGTCCCGGCGGCCCCGCTCACCTCCTGCTCCCGCCGCTGCTGGACGTGCACGGCCGCCACGGTGGCGGCGGAGAGGAGCGCGGTGACGGCCAGCACCGCCCGGGAGCTCCTCGACATCGCCGCCGCCGCCGCCGCCGTTGCCGAAGCCGGGCCGGGCGCGCGAGCGGCCGTTGGCGGCCGTTGGAGGGGGGTGAGGGTGGATGGGGGAGGCGCGGCCACGCCGAGCGCTGAGCGCGTCGAGCTAGGCCTGAGCAATCGAGCGCCGAGCGGCAGGGGGGGATGGATCGGGATATGGGGGCGGGGGGGGGGGTGTCGCAAAATGGCGGCCGCCCCTTCCCGCCCGCTGGGGCTGCTGGTGTGAAAAGCAAATAAAAGTGTTTTTTATCTGAGCCCGAGATTGTGTTGTTTTTTGCTGTTGTGGCACGCGGAGCTCCTTGCCTCACACACAGAGCTGTGCGGAGGTGGAGGCTTCAGGTGCTGTGTTTCAGGGCGCTTTTCCCCTATAGCACACGAAAATCCCAGTGGCTCCTGTGGGGCTGGCAAGAGGCTGGCTCCCAAAGAGCGAGGAGCGTGTGAGCAGTCACCATCTGCTGTGTAACACCACAAATCTGCAAACACAGACACAGGGCAGCAACATCACAGGCTCACCTAGGCTGGAAGAGACCTCCAAGATCCCCCAGTCCAACCCCTGCCCTAACACTGACCAGTCCCCCACTAAACCATACCCCTGAGCTCCACATCTAAACACCTTTTAAAGCCCTCCAGGGATGGAGACCCAACCACTGCCCTGGGCAGCCCACCCCAATGCCCAACAACCCTCTCAGTATAAGGTGACACTTGGGAATTTCCCAAGCAAAGGGATGTCCGGCGGGGAGGTGGGATACCCCATGAGCTCTGTAAACCCTGAAGGAGGTCAGAGAACAACCGCTCACCCTTCCCCACGCTACCATGGTAGCCAGGGAGGTGGATCTGGATAGCAAGCTTAACCAAAAATGACATTTTTCCACGACGTATGAGCCAATTGTGGAAGCCAGCCCCATGTGCTGCAGAAGCTGGGCTTATCTACAGATTCAGAAAGGATCCGGGTAAATCTGTGGACAACCATTGCTGTCGAGATGTTGCTTTCAGCTCATGAATTCTGTAAACCACAAGTGAACCGTCAGGTGGAAGGTTTATTGTGAAAGGCGTAGTCTTATCACTGACCTTCTTTCCTGTTTTTTTTTTGTTTGTTTGTTTGTTTTTTTTCCAGGCATTTGCTGCTGCTCTCCTGTCAGGCAGGACTGTGGGCACAAAGATTTTCAACTTCAGCAGCTACCACAGTCCCTAGCTGCAAAACAGGCTCAGATACCTCCAGGTAGAGCTTGGCAGTGCTGCACTGCAGTCAGCTTCTGGGACGTGAATGGGACCCTCTGCTGCGTGGAGGCAGCCGTGTCACGTCCCCAGCCCAGCCCTGAGCAGAGGAGGCAAACCAGATGTGTGAAGCCAGCCCTTCCTCGTTATAATCTTCTTCATCTGTCTGCTGAACAAATGTGATTAAAATGAAAGGCGAAATTAATGGGAATGATAACATTTCAATTTAGTATAATAGTTCTGCTCACATCGGTGTGTTTACTGTTATTAAGACGTATGCATAAAGTGCTTGTAGCGCAGCCAGCGCCACTGGAGTGCCAAGAACTGGGTCGAGCCAGCTGCACGGCGGATGTGAGCCAGCGTGCAGTGCCCTGGGCACCGTGGAAGGGCTCACCCCAGCTGGGAGCCGAGTGCCTCTGCCCGAGCCTGGCATTAATCACTCGAGGGGCTAAAACCCCAGACGGGGAATATTCAGGATGTGGTTTCACAGGGGAGCTCTGGCTTAAGGTGTTCTCGTGTTCTCTTTCCATCCCTCCCGAGGACCAGGGATTGCCACAGGGCTCGCCTTCCCTGGGTTCAGTCTGCTGTCCTGCTCTCCTCTTCTTCTGGTGGCTCTCCTTTCTGTGCTCGGGGAAGGCTCGCTGAGGAGGTGACCTAGTAGAAAACCCAGCTGTGGGCCAGACTGGCAACTAGGTCTGGCAACTGCGTGGAAAAAAAAAGGAGATTTCAGAGTTCCCCGCAACAAATGCAATCTTAACAACTCAGCCCTTGGCAGAGATGTCTCACAGGGCTTGTGGGGCCGATGGAGCGTGTGTGACTGGCAAGCTGCTGGTGGCTTCCTGCAGGGAGTCAAGCCACATCGCTGAGCCAGTGCCGAGGGAAGTGTGGTTTGGGAGGGCCTATTTATTTATTTTCTGGCCCTACTGGCTCCTTTCCACATGAGGTTTCCTCAAATAAACGCGGTGGTTGCTGAAGGAAGGTTCCCGGGGTGTTGTGTCAGTGCCCGTCTTGCGTTGTGTTTCCTGTGTCTCCGCTCCTCCTTTGCTAGCCTGGGCACAGCGGCACGCGTCAGCGCGCGGGCAGGGATTGCTGATCCGTCAGCAGAGGGTTTGCTCACATGCAGCGGGGACGAAAAGCTAAAGGCCATTTCCCCCCCTGGGCAAACAGCTCAGATCTCGACGGTTATCTTGGATAACGCGTCAGAAGCCAGTGCTTGGGGGGCATTTCTATCCCGGTTTCCTAAGAAAACGAGGCTTGTGCAATCCCCGGGCCTCATTCGCCCCCTCCCTTCCCCTCTCACACAGGCGTCTGCCAGTCTCCCTAATGAGGCTGAGACGCCGTTTCGGTGTCAGGAAGGCTTCCCCGCCGATCTGCAGCCCCATCCCACAGGACGTGGAGGCGCGTGAAGGTGTGGTGGCAGCACCGTGAGGGAAAGGGGACGGCAGCGGCAGCTCAGCCCTCGCCTCTCGCCACCAGGGACCCCACACAACGGGGCACTCAGCTCGTGGCTTGCCCGAGCAGGCCAGCAGTCACCGTAAATCCCAGGGAAAGCCCTGTGAAAATGCGGCAGGGGTGGATGTAGAGCCTCAGGGGGAGCCAGCAGCAGAGGGGAGCGCGCTGTCCTGCTGCCGTTAGCGTCGCCTTTCCTATTAGAGCAGCACTGATAACAGGGGCGAAATGATCACCAGCGTGTCGTGGGCTCTTTTTTTTCTCACCGTGATAGCGTTTCCCTTCTGAGAAATGTAATTATCTCCCCCCCACCCACCCTCCAGCGCCAACAGATGTGATTGCAGCAACGTGGACGTTGTTCGGGTGCAGCCTACCTGGGCGGGCAGGACGTTTTTCTGCGGAATCCGCAGGGTAGGGGGTGCTGCATTGCGAGCACGAGAAGACGAGGCAAAAAAAAAAAAAAAAGGGGAAAAAAAAGAGGTAAATGTGTTAAAGGTTTCACGTCCTCACTCTGTAATTAAGAGGCAGAGCAGCCCAGGGCTTCTGTGTGTGCAGGTTCAAGAATAAATTGGGATGAATGGAAAAAGAAAAACCCATGAGGGTGGCGGAAAGCGAGGGTGCCCCAACCTCCCCCTGCCTGGCAGGGCGCCGTGTCAAACAGTTACTTCTCATCTCGGTTCGCCTTTGCTCTTCCTCCTTCCCAGGGGAGGGCGGACGCCCCAGGGGAAGCCGGTGCGAACGTGCCGAGGGTTTTACAGCCGGCGACGGCTGGTTACAGGTTAGCCAGCGAGCCCCGCTGCGCCCCTGCTCCAGGAAAACCAAGCCGTGGGCTCGGCTGCTGTCACCCCGCTGCTCCACATCACCCTGCTTTCCCCACAGCACAGTTTCCCTGCTTTTTCCCCACCTCCCGTGGTTTTGGGGAGTTTTGGGGTGCGGGTGCCAGGCTGAGGAGCTTCCCCTGGGCCCCCCCCCCCTTGGTGCAGGGACAGGCGGGTGAAATGCAGGTCGAGGCCAAAGTCTAGCGGCGCGGTGGCGAGAGGAGGATGTGGAAACAACACTTGATAATTATATTGGTGGCAATTTCACAGACCCTTGTCCGCAGACAGGCAGCACTGCTGGAGCTCGGGTGGCAGGGACGCTCCGAAGGTGTGTGGAGTTTTTTTTTCCTTTTTTTTTTTTTTTTTTTTTTCTCCCCCTTCTGGTAAACATTGTAAAAGGCATTGGTGATAAAAACCGTTGTGCAAAAAAAAAAAAAAAAAAAAAAAAAAAAGAACCGTTGGCAGAGTAATCCTGAAAGCAATCACCCCGCAGCCTGCATGACAAAGGTGGCTCTGCTGGAAAAAGCCGAGCTGCTGCTCCCGGGGAAGGTCCCGTTCCTGTCCCAGTCCCAGTTCCAGTCCCCTTCTCAGTCCTCATCCACAGAAACCCCCAGCTCTGCGGGCTCACCAAGGCTGGGGAGGATTTATCTGTGGATACAAAGGATTTGGGGTCATCCTCTGCCCCACTGAGGTTAAACCCAAGCCTCTGGCTGGGGTGGTGGCCTGGCTTGGCTGTCCCTCTCCCCCCGGAGGCAAAGGGGCTGCAAGGGCAATTTGGGGTCTCTCTGGGGTCAGTGCAGGGTGAGGGTGCCCCTGAGGGGCAGATCCAGCTCCAAATCACTCGTCCCCCCTCAAACCCAGCCGGAGACGGAGGGGTCACGGCCGTGCAGGAGCAGAGGGAGCAAAAGTCCGGATTTGGCCTCCGTCTGCCTGGCTGGGAGCGGCAGCCGGGAGCTCCCGGGGCGATTTTCCAGGCAGCGGGTGCCTGCGCTGATGGGTAACTGGCTCTGGGCATGTTTGGACAGACGCTGTGCTGCGGCAGCGCGCTGGGTCCCCGCGGGGAGCACCGGGAAAGCTCCATCTGCAACCGAGTTAACTGCTCCGAGCATCCCCTAGCCCAGCTCGGGGCTGTTATTGCTTCCTCCAGCTCATCCCTGTCTCTCTGCGCCCCTATAAGCGCTCCCTGGAAACCTGCAGGGGTGTCAGGGAGGGCACCCAGCTGCTCCCCGAGGCGCCCTCCCACCCGCCTGAGAGGGTAGAGAAGTGCCCCATATGCATACAATGGGTTTTATGGCCGCTGGTCATCCCGCAGGAATGAGGAAGTCTCCCCCCGAGCCCCAGAGGTGCCATACGGGGATTTTCTCCCCCCCGGGGAGGTCTGGGTTGAAGGGGGGGATGCCAGAGCTTGCCGCAGAGGCTCAGGCGCGCCCGTTAGCCCCCGAGCAGCGCCTTATCGGCGCGTGCCAGCTGCAGGAAGCGGGGATTGGAAGCCCGTCCTGAGAGCACGCTCGGTATTTTTAGGAACCCAGCTAGAGGGCTGACGGGGTCAGACCCCAGCCTTCTCCCACCAGCCAATGCCATACTTCTCAGGGAGAGCTTTCCCAAGCCGGCTGGCCGACCGTAGGCAAAATGTGGCTTTTTTGGGGTGTCACCCCACGGGATCACGCACCAGCCAAGCCGTGACGTGGGGATGCAGAAACACAGGGGCGAGGGGAGCTGAGCAGGACGTGCTGAGCAAGCATCTCCCCCCAGAAGGGAGGCAGCAGAACCCATCGGGGATGAAAGCATCGGGAGAGGGCGAGCAGGTGCTGCTCATCCCCTTGGTGGCCGGGTGCTGCTGAGGTGTCCCCTGAGGAAATGTCCGAGACCACGGCAGCACCGGGTCACCTCCGGAGCCAGGGGGGCTCTGCTTTGTGTGGATGCTGCTTTGGGAGGTTGACACTGCTCCCTAACAAAGCTGGTGGTGGCTTTCTGAGTGCAGCGGGGATGTTAACCTGGAGCAGCTTTCCCAAATCTCCTCAGCCCTCGACTTGCAGGTGGGATTTCGGTACGGGTGCCTGCCGCATCCAGCCCGGCGGCAGCACCGCACCTCGCCGGGGCGCCGCTGGGTGCCCCAGGGAGCGGAGCCGCGGCGAGTGGGCGGCCGGGGAGACAGCGCCAAGCCGGGAGGGGAGCGGGAAGGAAGCGGAGGTATCGGTGGAGAAAGACAGGGAGACGCTGGGAGTGGCAGGGGATGTGGGAGGCCGGGAGCCGGGAGCCCGGTGAGTCAGCGCGGTGGGGTGCTTTGAAAGCGGGCAGGGAAGCACACGCAGCCCCAGCCCGGGGAGGTGTTTTCACCCCCATGCTGGTGCCTGCTGTGTCCCGCTTGCCCTGGCTGCTCCCTGGGCTCCCTCCTCTGAGAGAGGCCCCTATCCAGCTGGGCTGTCCCCAGGGGGATGCTGTAGGACCATGAGCTTTTTGTCCCAGGATGGAGAGCAGCTTCTCCCATCCAGCTCCCTGTCCTGCTGCACAGGGTGCACGTGGAGCCCTCGAGGTGCCAAGCCAGGTGCTCTCTCAAAATGCCAGGTGGAATTTGGACATCCAGCCCCATCCCTGACTCTCCCAAAATCCCTCTGGGAGAAGCAGAGGGGAGCCAGACACAGGGAGCAGCCGGCAACATGGGGCAGCCAGGGTCACAGCTGCAGCACCCGGGAGATGAAGGACACGAAGTTTTCCACTTTCTCCACCTTATTTCTTTATTATATCCACCAGGCCAATGCTGGCAGTGAAAGGCAGCCCTACAGGCAGGAGCAGTGCCCCACGTCAGTCCGTCCCCATGTCAAGGGTTTGCCCGGGATGGAGGGGGTTGCGATTGCGACACCATCGCGTGGCTGATGCATTGTTTGATCCCATCTCTCTCCCTTCTCACTCCCAAATGATTTGAGTCAAATGAAACACATTTTAGTAGTCAAATATGTAAGGGTGGGTCCCATTGTGCTTTGACCCTACAGGGCGTTTTGTACGTTTAATTTGATTTACACCCAAAATGTTAATTTAACATACTGGATTTTCTTCCACACCCAAGCAAGGCTGAAAATGAAACAAGATCCTACAGAAAGGTTTGTGTGCCATTATCTCGTTAGCGTTGCTATTTATTAGGTAATGAGGGCGCTGGGGCTGTACGCGTAGCGTTTCTGCAGGGTTTCAGTGGGGAAGGACACCGGGAGACGTGTGACTAAATAACAGCTAGGAATTATGGTTTTAGGCAAAGAAGTGTTTGCCTTCTGCTTCCCAACAGGCTTAGAGGTGTCTGAAGCAGTGAGTGGTGCCGGGGTGATGCTCGCCCCTCTTGCTCCTTCCCTCAGCATCCAGGAGCTGGATGGGGGACGCTCCCTGCCCCTTTCCGCCCATGTCCCCAAAGCTCTGCAGCCAGTTTGGGGCAGAAATGCTGCACGCAGAGCAGAGTGGGCTAAGCCCAAGCAACACCAAGGTATGGTCAGTCCCCTGCTGGCTCAAGGAGAAGGCAGCCCACCACCAGCTGCTCCGTCTGATCCAGGCGGTGTCTCCCCGTGCCACCTCTCCATCCTGCTCCTCTCGCCCTGCAGGAGGCTGCAGGACCTCCTTTCCTCCCTGTGCTATCAGCGCTGGGCACACAGCAGCCCTGACCGCTCGTTAGGGCTCCAGAGCTGATAGTAATAATAATAATAATAATAATAATAATAATAATAATAATAATAATAATAATAAACAACCAAGTTCCTGATTCAGCCATGCATGTAAGCGCACGTCCGACTTGGAGAACCCAATTAAAGTGGAGAGCGAGCCCCGGTACCTCGCTGAGTGGGAACCTCAAAGCAGGGTCTGAAGAAGCCAGGAACACTCCTGAAGTAGTCACAGCAAGCTCTTCATTCAGGAGTGTCGTGATTAATGACGTTTGCTGCCTCCGTTGGCTTAAAAGGCAAGGAGTGGTTGAAATAAAAGAAACCTCAAGTTGAAAGCGTTGCAAAAAAAAAAAAATCAATTAAAAGCCGTGTAGTTGTATCTTGACCTGGAGCAAAATCGCAGACATAACAGAGGAATTACATAGCCTTAAAGAGGAAGGCAGAAAGGGGAGGTTTATGTGCGGTATCCCCCCGAAGGCACGCTCAGGTTGCTTCTCCTCCAGTGCCCGCGGGTGCTGCGGTGCCCCCGGGAGCAGCAGGGGGGTCCCTGCCAAAATGCATCTGGCCGGGAACCCCAGGGGTTGGGATGCTCAGCCCTGAGAGCTTCCCAGGCCATGGGGCACCACTGGGGCGAACACTGCAGGTCCTGGCCTCGGGGTCTGGATGGACACACGGGGACCTGCCACATTTGAGGGCACGTCCCTTCCAAAAAACCCCAACTCCATTCCCTGCCACCAAACAGCGAGCCCCCCATCGTCTCCCCATGCTCTTTGGGAGGAAAATGGCAATTTTGGGGGGGAGCGACGCCGTCCGCAAGGCCTCCCCGTGCAGGAGGCAGCTCTCCACACACAGCCCCAGCAACCCGTGAGGATGTGCCCGGGGAGGAAGGCTTGGAAACAGCGGGCAGAGGGCAGGAGCAAGCACCCCTGGGTGGTGGTAAATGTTCAAGGACACGCCGTGCGCTCGGGAGGCTCCTCAGCAGAGCTTTTGTGGGTTTTCTTCTGTTTCTCGTGCTTCCTTCCCCCCACCCGTCCTCTTTTCTTTTGTTTCATTTCCACTTCGGGAAGAGGGGGGAGAGGACAAGAGGCAAATAAAAAAAATAAAAAAAAAAAAAGAGGGGGGGGGGGGAGGATAGAGAGAAAAGACCGAGGCCTTGACACGTTTCTCATTTGAAACGAACTACAATAAAATAAAGAAATAAAGCCTTTTTTAAGTAATTTTTTTCCTCCTTCTCAGAAGAAAAGCTTGTCATTAAGAAAAAAAAAAATAATAATAATAATAACACCAACAACTTTCCCTGCCCGCTGCCGCCCCGGGGGGGCCAAGGCCCAGCCGCTCACCCCCGGGGGCAGCACCCAGGGGTGGGGGGCACCCCACAGCGAGGGGGGGGGGGGGGCTGCGGAGATGAGGCAGCAACAGCGTGTGTGTGTGTGGGTTTTTTTTTTTTTCTTTTTTTTTTTTTTTCTTAATTTTCAGCCGTGAAAATTCTTTTGCAAACATTCATGCCTTAGGAAGGGCTGGAACAAAGCTCGGCCGCTCCAACCGGTCGGACAGGTAGGCAGACTTGTTGACACCGTTATGTTTGCAGCACGCATGCTCCTTCCCAAGTTTCCTGGTGCATTTTTCTATTCCACCTTATGAAACTTTCCCCCCTCCACCACCACCTCCTCCTCCTCCTCCTCCTCTCTCTCTCCCCTCACTTTTTTTTTTTTTTCCTCTCTCTCTCTCTTCTTTTCGCACCCTCCCCTTCTCCCCTCCCCGCTCCGGGCGGCAGCGCAGCGCCCGCTCCCCGCCGGGGTGGCGGCCACCGGCGGGGGGGGACAAGCTCCGTGCCCAGCCGTGCCCAGCCGTGCCCCCTGCCCTCGCCATGCCCAGAGCCTTCCTGGTCAAGCGGCGGAGCCCGCAGCCGGCCGTGCGGAGCTGGGCTGGGCTGCCCGACGAGGAGCGAGCCGACACCTACATCCCAGGTGAGGCAGCGCCCGGCCCCATTGTGTGTCCCCCCCCGGGGAAATGGGGAAGCGACCCCCGAGCCCCGCTGCCCCCCTTGGGGAAAAAATGGGGGCGGTGGGGAAAGGGGAGCCCGGAGCTTCACAGCGCGTTCCCCCAGGGGGGGTTTGGGAGCCCCCCGTCTTGGGTGGGAGGCGTGGGGTGGTGTGTGTGGGGCGAAATGGGGCTGGGGGTCCTCCCGGCTTGCCCCCGTCCCGCTGCTTCCTCCTCCTCCTCCTCTTCCTCCTCGCCTGCCCTTGCCCGGGGTATAACGGGCAGGCAGGCGGCGGAGCGGAGCTGGCTTGTTTGAACTTTGGGACCGTCCGTGTTTGAGTTTCCGATTGCGGAGCGAGCCGGGGAACCTGCCCCGGGGCCCGCCCGCAGGTTAAACAGCCCCTGCCCACGGCACGGCCCTGGGGGGCCCCATCCCGCTGCCCCCCGCTGCCCCCGATCTCCCCTCACTGCCGCCTCCGCTCCCCGTTCCTCATCCCGCTCCGCTTCTCGCTCTCCCTCTTCTCCCCATCCCCACCCTCGGCCCCGCTGCAGGCGGCGTCGGCTGCGTCCTTCTGGGCTACGAAGACAGCTGCAGCCTGGAGAGCAGCGGCAGCAGCGGGACGAGGGACGCCGAGCCCAGCGACCCCCCGACACCGCAGCCGGCCCCCGCCGACCTGGGCACGGCCGGGGGGATGCTGCTGGACCTGGCCGTGAAGCGCCCCGTGGTCAGGTCGAAAATCAAGGTAACCAGCACGGGTGGCCCCCCCTTGTGGTCACCCCACGTTGAGGGAGGGTGGTGGGGGCACCCAGCACCGAGCTCAGCTCCATTAGTGCGAGGTGCCGGCACCCAGCCCGCAAACCAGGCTGGCCGCCCCCCAGGAGCAGGATGGCGGCGTTGGGGCAAGCCTGGCGAGCGGCGTACCGTAATCTTCCAGCGCCCTTTGCCTTCCCTTAGCCCTGCCCGGGGCCGTGCCGCCCCTGACCTGCTTGGCTGCGAACCCAGGAGGAAGCACCAGCGTGAGGAGTCGTGCCCCATGGGACGGGGGTGGATCTGGCCCTCTGCATGGGGCCTCCTCCACAGCCCTTCTCCCTGGTGGTGGCCCAGCGGCCACCCCCTTTGGGAGGCTTCCCGGCAGCCCCGTGCCCTCTTGGCTTATCAGGGCAGCGCCTGGGAGAGGTCCTCTTGGCACCTCGCTGGGTCTTGGTGCTTATCTCAACGTGGGAAGCCCACAGGCAGGAGCTGTGACAGGACGGGTCCTCTAGGCAGGGCAGTGCTTTCACCCCAAAGGATGTGAGGGGAAATGGGGAGTGGGCTCCTCGTGGCGCTCAGACCCCAAACTCCTGCCTGGTGTGGTGGGATGTGAGGCACGGGACCATGCCCATCTGTGAGCACACCGGCTGCCCCTTGAGGTGGTGTCAGACCCCCAGGCCACCCCTGTGCTGGGAAGGAGGAGATGCCTTTAGCCATGGCTAGTTAGCACCTCGTTAAACCCTGGCTGCTGCTCTGCTGGACAGAGCTGTAAATGTTCCTGCTGTCTGTGGGGATTACAGGGTTTCAGCCAAGATTTATCAATCTTGTGATGAACATTACATTTTTCCCCTCCTTACATGCAGCCGAGGTGAGGTGGAGCCCTACCTGTTGCCCAACGTGCTTCTCCCTCTGCTGCCCCTCTAGTTTCACATCCTGATGTCTCACAGCTAGCTTTTTTTTTTTTTTTTTGGCTTTTCCAAACCATTTCAGGTAACGTTACTTCATGAGTAAGCGAAGGAGGAGGAGCAGGAAAAATAACTGGCTCTTCAGGAAGAAGAACCCCCAAACCTATTCCTCTTTTCATGCTTCGCTGCTGTTTGAGCTGAGCCCACTGCTTACAATTTACTTTGTGCTGTTAGCAAAAATTACATCAAAATCCACGGAGAGGACCCGCTGCTCTGCTTGCTTTCACCTGGCTCGAGTGGCCAGCAGCGAGCGCGTCGGCTGCCCCGAGAATAATTAAAATAATAGTGAAGTGTTTGCATATCCCAGACGTTAAACTTTCGTTGTAAGGAATGCTCTTCCCAGGAGCTGAATCATCAATGTCTCCCTTAGTCAAGTTAGGTCATGGAGTTGGCGCAATATTTTTGGTGTTAGAACTGGGAATGAGGAGATTAACCCATAATGACACTCTCAAGCTAATTAACCAGCAACGGGGACCGATGGGAGGAGATTAGTGCCATTGTTTTAGTCTCCACTGAGTCAGCACAACCTCGCTTCGGTTTATCTCTCCAAATTTACCTGCGCAGCCAGAAACACCATTAACTCTTTTTTTTTTTTTTTTTTGTGAAAAACTTTCAGCAGAAACCGGTGATATTTGCAGGGAGGGGCATCCCCGGGGAAGATGTGGCTGGCTGCGGGAGCATCTCCGAAGGGGAGGCTGCAGGGCACCCTGGCATCTCCCGCAGCCCTGAGTTGAGAATTAACATCAGCTTCCCCTCCCGATGTTCCTCCTGCGCTCTGAGGGGCTTTTGCAGGGGGAGAAGCGCGAGGAGCGGAGGTGCTGCTGGCAGGGCTCGTGGCCAAAGCAGGCGTGCTGGATGCGGCTGGATGAGGGTCCCTGCTGCTGGGGGGCTCATGGCACAGCCCGGGAGGGGGTCAGCGGGCGGTGGAGAAGGGGCTGCTCCCTAGGCACGAGGTCTTTTTTTTTTTTTTCTTGTGGTCTTTGCCATGTCGATACAACTCAGCCGGTCCTGTTCCCTTCCCCAGTTCACCACGGGCACCTGTAACGATGCCACGGTGCACTCCTGCGAGCTGTGTGGCAAGGGCTTCCGCCTGCAGCGCATGCTCAACCGCCACATCAAGTGCCACAGCCAGGTGAAGAGACACTTGTGCACCTTCTGCGGGAAAGGCTTCAACGACACCTTTGATCTGAAAAGGCACGTCCGGACCCACACTGGTGAGCCTGCTGCGCCCGGGGGCTCCGGGCTGCTCGGCGGGGGGGGTGGGAGAAAGGGGTGAGATGGGACAGGAGGGTGAGCATCTGCAGGGAAAATGCAAAGCCCAGGTAAGCCAAAATTAGCAAAAAAATACATAGCAGCGATGTGGTGGAGGAAAGGGAACGGTGTGAGCCCATCTCCCAGCACGCCTGGGTCCCGCCAGCCCCAGCCACGCGCTGGGTGAAAACGCTTTGCCCTCTAGAGGAAACGAGCAGCAGTTTCTCCTGCCGTGGTGCGAGCCGGCCCTGCGGGCTGGGCTGTGGGAAGGGGCTGTGGTGTGATTTTGGCGCTGTCTGGAGAAAGCAGAGCGTGGCTCACGCTGCGCCTCCGGCTTTTGGGAAGCCAGGCGACGCGTCCGCGGGCAGCCCGCAAGCAGCGCTGCACCGTCCTGTGCCGGCGTGCTGAACTTGTCTTAACTCAGGCAGGAGTTTATGAGGCTGGTTTGTACCCTGCGACGATTTAAAAATCAGATTTATGAGGGTCTGTCCTCATTCTGAATGAGCTTGGGTCAAAGCAAAGCATTTCAGACACTGGAAAGAGGGTGCTCACCCCGTGCTCTATGCACAGAAGCGCTCGTGCTAACCTGGAGCAGGGGGAAAGCTGCTTTTTTTTCCCCTTTTTTTTTCCCTTAAAGTGGAAGTGGTGGTTTAAACGCCCTTCAAGTCCATCCTCACCAAGCAGGACGCTTGCTGGCAAGCCAGGCTGGCTGCGCTCCGCAGGCTTTTAATTTGCACTGCAGGGCACCCGGACGATGCCGCCACGTCTCCTGGGCGCGCTCCACCTTTCCGCATTTGCCGTTGCCTGCAGGACCTGCTGGTTGCTTGGGGTTGCTCTGCACTGCCCTTTCCCTTTGCTTATGGGATGGGGCAGAATGAAGCAGGTGCACTGCTAGCGGTGCAGCGAGCCACAGTTGATTTTTTTTTCCCAAATTGCTGTTGAGGGAAGCTGGGAGATGTTTGAATACTGGGGCTGCGAGTGGTAGCGTGGGCTTTATTCTGGTGCAGCAGGTGCTTGTTGACACCTGCTTCACTGAATTTCAGTGTCCCGGTGGGAACTGTTTGTCACTGGACTTTGCAACAGCAGGGTAGTGTCACAGGGTGGGAAAGCCGAGCCTGCCAGCCCAGGTTCACAGCATAATCAGAGTTAAATGCTAAAAACTAACTGATATAAGCAGTTAAAGGAAATGTAGAAATGAAGAGGCACAGCTCCTGGTCAGCTGATAGAGGTCTAGACCCCTGCAGATGCTGAGAGGGGTGACCCAACTCAGCATCAAGATGCTTCTTAGTGCAACTCCTAATTAGTTGGGAATTCTGGTAGATTACAGCAAGCGAGTTGTGAACTTAACACAATTTCCTTACAAAGTTAAAACCGCCCATGTGAACACCTCTGCTTTACACTTCACCCTTTTTTGCCTGCCTATTACTCACCCTAGGTCTCATCTTCCTCTGATTGAAGAAAAAGAGGGTTTGGGGTAACATTGTGCAAGCTTAAAGGCTGATCTTTGCTGCAAAACTTACTGAGCTGCTCCATAATAAGTCAAATCACAACAGTGTTTGGGGTTTTCTAGTGTTGGTAAACCCTACAGTATTTTCCTGTCAGGTGCTGGGGGGTTGTTGCTAAATCAGCGCTGACTGGTGATAAAATGGGTGCTCTACTGCTCGTTCTCTTTTATAACGAAACTGTTCAGGCATTCAAATCACAAGCCAACCCCTTCTTCCTTCTCCAGAGCACGCATACGTCTTTCTTTCATCTTAATGCACTTCTTTCCTAGAACCTGAGCCTGTAAGCTCAATAATTAAAACTCTATCCTGTGAAAACAGCCTTGCTTGTTTGAAGTGCTGCGATCGCTGAGTGCTCGTGTTTGGCAGCCGTCCACCGAAGTGTTATTAAGCTTTGCTCACTAGAAGAAAAAATTAACAACTTACCAAGATATAAGATTTCGTTCATTACCAGTGCCAAGATGAAGGGTTAGCTGGAACCGGCAGTTTTACCTAATCACAGGGCTAAAATTCTCAGTCAGATATTTTAAGGAGTAGGTTACACCAGAGTGGATAACGGTTTCTTCTTAGGCACCAAAACGCTGATGGGCACCTGTTGGCTTCAGCATCTGCCTGAGCCTTATCAAAACAATTCTCTGTTCCCCAATGTATCAAGCGGTTCCTGAAGATTTTAGCCTAAAAGTAAAATGTCTTAGTTAGAGTTTCCTGGACTAGCAGCTACCTACTGCTAGGAATTTGCTCAGTATTTAGTTAAACAGAGCCTTTCTCTTAGCTGGTTTCTCACTCGGCTGCAATAAACGTAAACCAGCAGAGTAATCGCTGTCTTTTCATGTTGTAGGAATTCGTCCTTACAAATGTGAGGTCTGCAACAAAGCATTCACCCAGCGGTGTTCCCTGGAATCCCACCTGAAGAAGATTCACGGGGTGCAGCAGCAATATGCCTACAAACAGAGGCGAGATAAACTTTACGTCTGCGAGGATTGCGGCTACACCGGCCCCACGCAGGAGGACCTGTACCTGCACGTCAGTAGCGTTCACCCTGGCAGTGCTTTCCTGAAAAAGACCTCAAAAAAACTGGCGGCAGTCTTGCAAAACAAACTGAGCCCTGTCCTGCAGAGGAACTCCAAAGACGACGACAAGGACGAATAACGCGGTGGATTACAGTGGGCTGCAGGAGTGAAGTTTACATGTAGGACTACGTTTATATTATTATTTTTTTTAAAAAAACAATTTTGGAAGAAATCCCTGACAGAAAGGGGATGCTTTTGTTAACGGGACTCTATTGATACTGGCAGAACCTCAACTTGAAAGAAATATTGCTGTACGTGATGCAAACATCGGACTTCCGTCTGGTCAAAAAACCAAAAGACTGGAAAGAGCGGTCACCTCACCTACTCGACGGAGTCTTTACTGAACTGGCATTCAGGTGACCTGCTTTGTTTCAGCTCTGCTACACATCCGGATGGCTGCTGACCACTAAGTTTGCCGTTCCCCAGCGCGTTTCTTACAGATGACAACAGTTACCTCCTGTAAAAATTGCCTGTGAGAGGTTTGGGTGAGAGGGGCCGTGTAAGAGCAGCTACACGTACATTGTTCTCATGTGCACAAGTAATTAAAACAGGCTTACAACCAGGAACACACTGTATCGGTACCTAAGTTTAAATGTGCAAATAACCTTTACTCTGACCCCCCTGTGCAGTAAACTAATGATTTCCAGAACCGTGATCCAAGGTGAGCTCAAACTTTATTTAAAAGGACGCAGAACATTTTCCCCTCTTAAACTTTCTCTTCTAGCAAGTAACATTCCAGGGCAGCCTTACGGTCACGTTCTAGGTACTTTAAGCTGTGAACTCCTTTTATCATATTTAGATTTAAGTGTGTAACCTTAACTCTGGCTGTCCTGGACTTGTTACGCACGCTTTGGGGATTATTACCACATCCTCTTAACATACATCAGTACCAAGCCAGAAACTCAAAGAAAACACTTTAATGACTTGAAGATTTCTATTTTCTGTCACGTTGAAATGCATTTTTGTGTGTATTTTATGGTGTGCATGTGTGTGTGTTGTTTGTTTTTAATTTTTAAAACCCAGGTGCCTTTAGTTACTACAACAGAGCTGCGCAATGCAGTTAAGAGCACAGCTTAGGCTGTCTGACTCACAAGATCAATGCAAAACTATACACATGTATCTGGCCCCTAATGTGTAATCAGTCAGTTTAGAAGGCTCCTGGCAAGACTGATGCTACGAGGGAAGAAGGTGGTGATGATGACAGGGGACTGGTACGATGTCTTTGATGTTTTCAGCCTCCCCTTATATTCCTGCTCCAGCTCCTGTTGAACCAGGACAACCGGGATGGTAGTGCTATAGGGACCATCAAGTGCAAATTCAGGGACTAAAAAAAAAGAAGTAGAGGTGCCATAACTGTTGTTGCTGAAACTGCGTGACACTTTAAACCTCTTCAGAAGTTGCTGCAGCCCTTCCTGGGCACTTGGGTGTCTTACGTTAGGAAAGTCAGGGTGGGGTGGAACTTCCTCAGCAATCACAGGTTATGCTGGTCCAAGCACATGTTATTTGTCTGTCTCATGTCTTAATGGACACGGCTGCTGAACAGGTTTTAATTAACTTAAATGCATCATAATTAATGGTGTTCATTTTTAAATACCCCCAAAGTCATTTGTGTTTCAAAATAAAGCTGTACTTTTGGGGAAGATCATGCCACATTCTGCGTATGTTGAAAGAAAAAGCTGAACTGTAACAGACCTGAAATAGAGTCATGGCCAGGACCAGAATAATCACTGCTACCAAAATGGTAAGATTCTGAGAATCAAACAAAACAGAACAAAAAACCTCTCAAGATGCCTTGGTCTTGTACAGACACCTGCTTGAGTTCTTGCAGGGAAGAGCTTTTAGGGTTTCTAGAGATACAAGTATTTTATTCAGCACAACTGTGGGTGCTTGGGACCTTGAAAATGATGATAATAAAGTGATACTACTGTGTAAAGAACAAACTCGTAATCTGTGTAACAGGGAAGTTCGCAGAATACTTCAATAAATAGCAAGTCCACAGAAGAAAAAGCATCTGAGGAAGAAAAACATCTAAAGCTTACGCACTGATCCTCAGTTCTTCTGAGCCAGTGCCCCTGCAACTGAATGGTGTCAGTGGAGGGTTGTAGGACATGATGCTTTTGATTTCCCTCCAGTATGCCAAACTATGTCTCTGCTGAAAGAACCAGACACACTGAGGTGGGTCCTCTAAGTGGCTTCAAAGCAAGCACTCAGGGCAGCAGAACAAAGTCATACATAACAGCAAACAGCAGAATCGAAACCGCTCTGTCAGGAGAGCAAAGCTCCAACGAGGCTGACACCATAGCTACAATCACTGCCCCCAGCACCTGACTGCTTTCTGCAGATGACAGATACTCCCTGGAGCAGGTGCCTTGGGCACGTCAATTTGACAGTCAGACAAGTCAGTTTAAACTGGGGACAAAGTGGGTTTCAGTTTGCATGGGACTGGCAATGGCTCGTTACGGGACAAAACCGGCAGCAGCTTCTTCAGAACTGTTTGAGAGCTCCCACAGGGATGCCTGAGGCAGCCGGGCTTCCAGAAGTGCTAGACACGAGTAACTCGTACCGATACTCTCTCTGAAGACTGCCAGCTCCTCCTGGCTCTGCTGTCACAGACTCCTCCAAGACTTAAGGATAGTTTTATGATCTGGCATTGTCTGAGGAGAGCTGCCAGCTTCAATGGCAGAAGGCTTTTGTTATACAAAAAGGTGAAGCCAACAGGCGCCTGTGCTGCCCAGGCTCCAGCCTTGTCCTTTTAGCAGCAGGCAGGATGAGGATGAAAACTTGACACGGTCCTGAGACACCCAATGGCTGTAGGTCCGATGGAGGATGCAGTCCCACCCCAGTGCTGCTCAGCTGTTCCACACTCCTTTGATTTACCCAATCCCAATTGACACGTGAAGTCCAGAACATTTGATCACCTCCTGCTTCTGCCCAAAACAACTCCTCTCTTCTTTATGCCCGCCTTTACACCTACAGAGCCACCCCACACAGAAAATCAACCGTGTTCAGCGACACTGGCCTACCCACTTGCTAAAATGCTGTGATGTGGGGATGTACTTGCCAAACAGGTACAACATCTGAGCACGCACGCAGCTTTGTAGTCATCAGCCATCTCTGAACCTAGCTTCTGTCTCTGCGTTTGTCTCTTTAGTTAGAAATGTAATTAACCACGCTGTCACCAGACCGGTGTTTGAATAAGCACGCACCAGTACAACTAAAGGTTTTACTGCGCAGCTTTCCACAGTGCAGTACTCTAGAGGAGCTGATGACTAAACTCTACAGAGGCTCAGGTTTCTTCAGCAGCAAGCTTGCCCACTGCTTTTTTAGATATGGTTCTGGCTGATTTCCTTGAAGTTTAGGGGTTGGGCTTATTTTTATATGCAATCTTCAGTGGAATTATGAAAACTCATACCTACAATTCAGAGAAAGTGGATGAAGAAAAAGCTTTCCTGGCATGCAACGCACTAAGTGTTATCCCCTGACATCACCAAGGCTCATTCCATGTCTATAAAGTTAATTTTATGAAACAAGCTTCAAAAGTAACACTTCTGTTTCAGGATATTTATTCACAAACTTACTTGAAAACAAATAAACAAGACCAATTCAAAAAAAAACAACCAAACAAAAAAAACAAACAAACAGCTCTTTGTTCCTCAGAAGGCTCAGCTTCAAAGTCACAGGTCTGTGACTATTATAAGGAAATGTACTTGCCTGGCAAACGCTACAACCTGACACTGCAGATAGGTCCTTATGGGAAGGCTCCTTGTCCCCTCAGACCCACAGCAAAGTCAGAGGAGCCCTAGACAGTCGCAGACCCGGCCTGCAGAGCCCACTGTAAGGTCACAACCTAGGGCACAAAGCCCGTTTCCACTTTCATATTTATTTTACGTGGGCTACACAACCTGTTAAGAACCCTGCAGGAGGATTTACCAGCAGCAACCTTCCCACCTTCCAGAACACTTGCTGGAAATTTTTAAGTGTACCAGTTACAATTCTGCCCCCCTGTTCCTCAGCCACTTCTGTTACACAATCAGCTTTTACTCAGTATTTTAAACAAGTACTTATGAGTTTGGTTGTAATTCACAGTGCAGTTTTTCCAACTGTTGCTGTAACAAAAAATACAAATAGTAACAGACCCATTAAGGGCTATCTTTGAAATGGGCAAGAACTAAGCTGACTGAAACCCAGTCTACTATGTTCATTCGTTGTTTACATTTCTTTCAGCTCAGACGGTGCAGATGTTGTTTTGCTTTCGTTTACCCATCCCGTTTTCAGAGTCTCAGCTCTGCAACAGCTTTTTCTCAAAAATGAGAAAAGGATAATTCAACTAACTGAAGTCTCCTACAACTTAGGCAAATATACATTCCCCGTTTGCATTTTTCTTTCCTTTTTTTTTTTTTTCTAAGGGGAAAGATGATAATAAGAAATTAGCTCAAGTTACTAGAAAAAGAATATTTCTTACAGTATAAAAAAAAAAAAAGATTAAAAAAAAATGATGTGTGCCTTGGATCTGTGCTCAGACCACTTGCCTTGACCACTGTATAGCTTAGTTTGGGTCAGTTTCTGTCCATGTATTCCTCGAGGCGCAGAAGCCACTTATTCCAGTACTGTGAGCACAGGTCTGGACCCATGAAGTGCGGATGTGCGGGGCAACCGTTCTTATAGGCAACCACTATGAGTCCACAACTGACCTGCAATTAAAACCAGGAGGTTGTTAGAAAGGGAACATTAACGTGCAACTTCAGCCAGCAGTTTTAGAGACCAAACCTGACTGTAAAACATCAGCTTACACATACACATCACAGAATCAAAGAATAGCTGGGGTGGGAAGAGACCTCTGCAGGCCAGCTGGTCCAACCCTCTGCTCGAGCAGGGACACCCAGAGCAGTGGGTGTCCCTGTGGGCCCAGTGTGGGCCCAGGACCATATCCAGGTGGTTTTGAAGATCTCCAAGGAAGGAGATTCCACAACCTCTGGGCAGCCTGTGTCAGTGCTCTGTCACCTGCACAATAACAAAGTGCTCCTTCATACCTTAAATCAGAAATATTTAGTTTATAAGAAATATCTTAAGAAATGAGGAACAAAACCCAGCAATAATTCACCATAAGGTACTTGGAGACTGACATTCAAATGTTGAGAGTCCAGAGCTCTGACTGACCTGGGTGAGAACTGGAGGGCTCAAACTCTGAATATCAATTTTTAGGGTCCACTTACACCTTCCAGATGCTGGTAAAATTTCCAGTGACTGATGAGGCTTTGCCTGGGGTCATATGATCAGCCTAACGCCATTCTCCAGCACCAGTCTGAGCGCGAACGCTTACCTAGGCCTGTTCTGAAATATTTAGTGCCTGACAAACAGCTCTAATCCAAACCCTGAGCAGCCAACAGGGGGGAAGAGAAAGTGGTGGAGTCAGAAGGCTGATGGTGGAACCCTTGCATTACTGCCTGTAGTGCATTCTAAGGATCATGTTTATGAAGCACTTCTGATCAGGAAACCGATCTCTGTAATATCCTAGGAAGTCCTTTGCAGAACCCATGCATTACCCTGCTCTCTGCTTTACATTTTCCCCCCTTCAAGGCTTTGCATTGAAATAACAAACCTTCAGGCCAAGCAGGCCTGGCTGGATTGCCTGTGGAGTCTTTGAAGCAACTCCTGATGTGAGCAATGCGCTCCCATCCCATTTCCCTGTTTGCATGGTCTTCTGCTTTATTTCCTCTCTCTCCTCCTGCTTCCTACTCCCCACACAAACCAAAAACATATGAACAAAGCACTGGGGACTGGCCAAATGTCAAGTAACTGGGATTTTACCTGACCTCCTGGGACACCGAGCATCCATCCCTGAACAGGGATTCCCTTAAAACCAGGGACAAGATACTACTGACAAGCCAGGGCAGCAGGATAAGCAAGAAATATTTTACAGTACAGTTTTATGTCAATTAAACCTGATCTAAGCCCAGGCTTCTTTGTTACAAATCCTACCAACACCTCCATCATGGCCAGCAGGTGCTGGAGGCAGTAAGTGGGGAGAAATGAAAGGAACAGGGGCGCTGCTGCTTGTCTCGGCAGGCAGCAGGCCTGCTGACCTGGAAGTCGTAATTGGCATCGTGATTGATGGCCCCAACATACGCTGCAACCTGCAGTGGGTTGTCAAAAGTATTCTTCAGAGACGGCTTCAGTTTCTCTGATGTCTTCCAGTCAATCACACACAACTGGCCTCTGCGTAAGACAACAAGAAAGGACAGTATTTTAGCTTTAAATTCAGTCACAGCAGGAAATTAGACACAGCACAGCAAAGACAGGTGTAACATTCAGCCCATTTCAACCCTGTTGCTCATCATCACTTCCAATCTAAGGAAGTCTCCTCTCATACTGGCAGCTTAGATCCCAAAATTCTTTCCATGTTTCCCCTCAACAGCTCACCAAGGCAGCTGCTCCAGCCTCCCACGTGCCACAGAGCACCAATTTTCGGGTCTCTCAGAGAACCAGGACCTCACCGATACTTAGCCACGCAGTCTACCAGGCCCAGATACTGAAGAGTTCCATGCTGAACTGCGCTTTCCAGAACTCTGACTTCACTGATGTCTTTTAAGACGTGTTGCACGCTTGATAAGTAGCCAGAAATAGCAGCGTCTTCTCCCTGCTCCTTAGCTGCCGACTCTTCAGGCAAAAACATAGATTCCAAAGCTGCATGGAAGAGCTCTCCTTGGAGGAAAAGATCTAAGAAAGATGTGACGTTTTAGACACTGCTCATGATATGTGATGGACATTATTAGACATAATAATGTTAGACATTACACGACAAACCCTTAAATCAGACTTTTTTGTACTGAAAACTTAAGCATGTGGGGAGGAGAAGGGAATGAGATAGAAAAATAACTTTTGTTAACAGTGAAATTATCTCTTTTACATTAATGCTTACTCTTTTTTTTTTGTCTCTAATTCTGCAGAAACAAAAGATGAGCTTTAATTTACTGTTTATTAAAAGGCATTATTTTACTGTACTCTACAGTCTAATTCCAGTTTCCCCATTCGATTCTGAATCAGTTTTAGTAGCCCTAGAACAAAGATTAGGGCTTATATTCATCAAGGACAGGTGCCCTCATTGTACGCTCTTGTCCCCTGAAATGGAAACAAGGGATTTTCAAAACACTCCACTTCTAGAGCTGGATAAAGCAGCTCTGGTAATGTGTCCCAGACAATTATCCAAACCCTTGCTCCTGCTCTGTCATCATGTGATGAGACTTACTTTTAGTATACTCTGCAAAGCCATCCTTCCCAAGTTCCTCTATCATTTTCTGCTTCCACCTTTCTAGGTAAAAGGCCTGCTGCGGAGGGATGGTCTGTTGAAGGATACGGGTAACGCTGGGGATTTTTGTTTTCTGCAAAGCAATTTTCATGGGCAGGCTGGAGTCGCTGTCAAGAAGCGGAGTCCTCTTGTTGGGGTTTATGAGAGGAATCCAGTTCTTGGGAGTTTTTGTTTCAGCTTCATCTGGAGGTGCGTGTTTAAGTGGCTGTCCGTATAACAAACCGTCTTCTTCAAGTATTGTCTCTGGTGTTTGGGCACTGGCTTTGTAAGATGTAACAGAGAAGACCAAGCTTTTATATTTTTCTTGATCAACTTGCTCATAACCGTTCACTTTTTTCTTCTTGCTGTAAAGACAAGCAGGAGGTAGCCAGACACATGTATGGGAACTGCTTTTTGCAATGCCGTAGTTGAAAAACCATTTCCAGTCTCTCGGGTTTCCTGCATAGTAGCTGTAGGAAATTCATTCTGACAAGAAGCATTTGTGAGTAGTTACAGTTCTCTTCCTTCTGTTAGGAGCAGTCTGCAGGATACCAAAATCTGCCCCTGTAGAAAAATAAATCAGTCATTTTCAGAGTCATAAAACAACACCAACCATTTGTCCTTAGCCACATAAAGAACTCCTACGGTCATAAAGTGCCTTCATACACTTCATACCACCAAAATTTAGATAAACAATACAATAACAAAAACCTGTAAGTAAGGAAAGAGGAAACGATCCTGAAAAGAACCAGCGCTGGCTGGCAAAATCTGAAACAGCAAACACAAAGATGCTGCAAGTAGCAAAAACTGCAGAAGATGCTCTTACAGCAACAGCATCAGAACTGTCATGAAACAAAACACACAAACTGATCTGTAACAAACCACCAAAAGTGGCAGAGGGAAATAAGAAACAAACAAACAAAAGATCCTGTGTAGAAGAGAATGAAGCAAACCCATTGATGTGAGATAGTAAATTTGATTAAGTTTTTTCAGTGCCTGCTGAAATTGGGAGTCTTTAGACTGGGAAAGTCAGAGATAAACCAGACGTTGCAAATACCTTCAGACGCAAATAAATCTTTTAAAGACCAGAGTAAAATATAAAAGTGTTTTTTCAAAAGAAGTTTCAACCACAGTTACGTTCTAAGACACTTAGGAAGCTTTAAAAGAAAACCTGGAGATCATAGTTCTTGTTCATGGCATAGCTTTCAAAACCATATTATAGCTTCAACGTCAAGTCCCATGGAAGTCTACGAATATGGCTAAAACAAACATGTGAACTGTGGCATTTAAATCAACACTAAATAATTGCAGAATTAAGGCCTTTGCTCCTACTGAAAGTTATCTGCTGACCGCCACAAAGTTCCCTTCCATCCACCCTCTGCAAAAAAATACATACAACACACATCGCCAACCAACATCAGCATTTTACTTCGGACAATACTTGTAACAGTACTCTTTTTCTTTTCCCCCCACACTTCTTACACAGCACTGCCCAAAACGTAGGCAGCACAGAAGACAAATACGTGCTAGGAGGAGTTATTTTGCATGGACAGATCCTGAACTCACACAGAACCGCAGGGACACCAGAGTGTGGGTGCAGGCATCTGTCACACAGAACAACTTGCGAAGCGGGGAGATACCAGCTGCAGCTGTTTAGATCAAGGAACCTTGTAACAAAAGGGGGAGACCTTGGACTCTGGTTCCATAAATATTGTTCTTCGCTTGCGAAGGACAAAACCTGCCAGCTGCAGAAGTTTAATCAGCAGTAGGCAGATACACTGCATTTTTTCTTTACTGGCTTTACACTTTTCACACTGACTTTGTCAAGTTTGGGCACATAATAACCGATCTAACAAAAAGCATTCATAAAACATCAACGGTGAAAACACATAGCATGCAACCTCTGCAGAATTAACGTGTTGAAAGCAGGCAATTTCAACCATTTTATTGCCATGAAAGCGTGCAAGTTTTGCCAAAAAACAGAGCAACCTGTTTTAGGCATGTTACACAACAGTGAGAAATTGGATTGTCCACATTCCGTAACTTCTGCCCTGCTTTGTTTCATGGATGTCTGAGGAAGCTTTACAATGTTGAGAAAAATATAACCAAATTCTCTATTACCTCTCATTTTCATTCAATGTCAAGGAACTGTTTCTATGATTTGCCAGAAATTTGTAAGAGCTTAAGAAGGTACTTTTTATGAAGTACCCATCTGTGTGAATTCTTCAGTCCTTCTTAGGTTTTCAGCCAGTGAATTTTGTATGGCCTCATTTTTACTACTAATCATTCTAACACATTTCTTTTTAAGAAGCTCTCTGTGTTTTGCTTTTTAACTATCAGAAAGTGGCTCACTTCTGCAATGCTGCTATGCCAAAATTTGCAACAACTCATTCTTCTAAGAAGAAGATCACATTTTTAATGGATTTTTGATCTTGGAATTGGTTACCTGTCAGAATCTGCCACTTGCTGAAAAAGAAGTAATGAACTATGTTAGCACGTTACATCAGGTTTCACTTTGCTGCAGGTGGTAACAAGAAATAGTAAAAGCTGCAGAAGAATACCTAAAGGTCAGACCTGAATACCATAAGCAATTTTTTTTAAGGTATTTTTTCCATCATAAATAGCAGGGTGCAAAAATTAATCTCTTCTCTTCCTGGGGTTTGCCCCTAAATCGAGTTACTGAAGCTGTAGTGTGAACTAAATAGGAGGAAAAAAAACAACCCTTACTCAAACGCAGTAGTGTCTGAGCTTGCAGTTTCTCGGGCCGTTGTTTAATGGCCATTACAATCTTACCCAAGTGCATTAATCAGAACAGAATACACACTGGGTCATTGACTGGGTATTTGTTAAGCTAGCCAGAACACAAAAGAAATAGTTTATGCTGGCTTTGTGTCAGTGGCAGTAGGCAAGACGATACCTGATCAAGCATTAAGCTCAGTTGTAGTAATCTAACCCTCAATAATTTTTAAGGAGTAACCTTATACCAGAGCGGTGCTGTAAATCAGGGGGCCACGAGAATGCTCAGTATTACAAGCACTACAGCTAATTTACTGTAACACTCATGCAGTATTTCAGTAGTATCTAGTATGTATTTTAAATTTACAGCCTGTTTTGGTCTGGAGTACTGTGTCTGGAAACATTTGTGCACATTATGAAGCGAACAGAGGAGAAAGGAAAAGCTTGTCTGCTGCTGTGCTGTTCCACAAAGATGTTCTAGGACCACTCAGAAATAAAGCACGCTTGTACTTAACCTACTAAAGAATCACATGCGTTGTGCGGTTAATCACAGTGACATTTTTGTACAAAGAACTTACATTTATAAGAAAGCAACGGGTCTGGGGCGGCCTGGATCTGCTCTCACACAGACAGAGCAGAACTGGATGGGTATTTCTCTCAGGGGAAGCGTCTCCCTTCTCTCTCAAACCCTTGGTGCTGGTACAGTTGTTTCAAGTACTGCACGATGAGCCGGACTGCAGACTCGAACCGAAATAAAATAACCTGAAAAAACACAAAAAGGAGAACTTTTCTTAACTGTCCCAAGCTTGTTGACTCTGCAGCTCCAGCATTAGCGGCACCAACATAACGGAGGAGGTTTTCCCAGGATACAAACGAGCAGAAACTGAAAGGATCGCTTCAGTGTTCACGGCCATAAGGCACTGCTGCAGCCAGGGCTTCAGGCAGCACCCAGCACGGCTTTTCCTTCTCTCACCGATCGAGCAAACAGGAGCACAAGCTCATTTTAGAGACACTAGGAAAGGGCACTGCTAAGCCACCCTACATGCCTAATTTGAGTACATCGAACCCAGTTATGAAGGTATAATTTTAAGCTACTATCACAGGCTTTTGCCTGATGAGAAGCAGTGTTACTGGTTGATGTAGAGAGGCAATAACAACTTATTTATTTTTTTTCGCCAGAAAAGCAACAGTAAGCCACATTTTTCATCAGAACAACCGCTTCCCCTTTATTTTTCATTGTATCTTCATAAGGTGAGGCTCTGAGAGCCCTGTAACCCCCGGGACCCCGCACAGTTGCTCACTCCCCATCTCTCCACCACAGGTGACCAGCACCCAGCCCTCAGCCTGGAAACCAGGAGCGCGGGGAGAAAAAGGCGCTTCCCCATTAAAAAAATAAAGGTAATAAGGCTCAGCTCAGCAGCCCAGCCTCCATCACAAGCCCATAACGGAAAGAAAGGAGCCCCCCGGCAGGCAGCAGCCCCTCTGCACTGCCCCAAATCCCCTCACAGAGCCGCCCCCCAACACAGCCCCCCCCTCCGGGGCGCCCCCTCAGGGGGCGCCGGTACCTCAGGGCCGCGCTGCCCGCTCGCCAACACACGTGCGGCAGCGACACCGCACACACCGCGCATGCGCCGGCGCCCCGCTGCCTCTCGGGATTTGTAGTTCTCACAGAATTTCTAGGTTGGAAGAGACCTCAAGATCATCGAGTCCAAGCCCCTAAGAACTGTTGCAATGGGATTTTTCTCCTTCTTTAGGTTTTTATCTTTTTTATTTCGAAGGCTCCCGAAACGTTTAAAAGCGAAGGGAAAAAAAAAGAGAGGAAAGCGCCGCCATCTTGGATGAAGGCGAAGCGGCGCCCTGCCCTCACCCAAGATGGCCGCCGCCGCGCGGGGGCCGCCGGGAGGGAGGGGGGCGGTGGCGGTGATGGCGGCGTGAGGCGGCTCCGCCCCGGGCTATATGAGGCGCGGCGGGGCGGGGGGCGGGCGGCTGCCGGCGACATGGCCCTGCTCCGGGAGGACGCGCAGAGCAAGGTGAGGGCTGCCCGGCTGCTGCCCAGGCTCGGAGGGGTAGCGGGGAGCCGCCTGGCTCGGTGTTATGCCCGGGCTGGGTGTGCCGGGGGGCGGCTGGTGCGGGGTGCGTGGGGGCTGCCTCCTCCTCCGAGCTCCCCCCAGCCCTGTGGGGGTGTCTCGGGAGGGAGCAGAGCGGGGTTGGGCGTTTCGTGTTGTGTGGGTGTCCGCTTAGGGCTGCGAATGAGTCAGGGCTTCCCCCTCCTGATCCGCGTGGAAGTTGGTTTTGGGGGAAATATCCGCGCTCACACCTCTTTCTGCTCCGCGTTAAACTTAGCAACGAGTCAAACATCTCTGGATTGATAATAGTGAACCAAAAAGCCTCGCTGTGGGGTTGTGTCTGCGGGTGGGGAGGTGAAATGCCCGCTGTCTCGCAGCACCTGGTGCCTTTGGTCCTGTGCTTCCCTCATCGCTATGGGGGAAGGGGAAGGGGGAGGCGGCTGCCGAGGGTCCGGGAGCTTGAACCCCGGCAGAAAGCAGGCAAAAATTAACCAGGTCGGAGAGGCAGGGGGGCTGGCGGGGGGTTTGGGCAGCCGGGAGGGGGGATAGGAGGGCTGCTGTCTTCTCCGCTCCTGTTTGCTCAAGGAAAGGGCAGCGCGGAGCTGGTGTGTGGCCCCCTGATAAAAACCGGGCGAGGGAAGCTTCGCGAGGTGTTAACCTTGAGTGGGAAGCGCTGGGAGGTGTCAACTGGGAGCTGACCCTGAGCTGGGCAGGCTGGGGAGGGCCGGGAGACGTGGGAAAAGGGAGGGAGGGAGGGGAGGATAAGGGGGGACTGGAGGTGCGGTGGGAGAGGCAGCGTGTGGGGAGGGAAAGGCTCTAAGTGAATCCCACTGCTAACTGAAGGAGTGGGGTTGCCCAGCTTGTGTGAACGTACCGGTGTTTCCTAATGTCGCTGTATTGATTACTGAAGTGCAGGCTTGAGCTTTCTGAATACTTATCCGGATCAAAATGGTGACACTGGGTCTTGTAGCAGCTCTTCCTAAAAAAAATAAAATAAAATAAAAAATGAAATGTGATGTTGTGGCCAGGGTCTTGTCTGTTATCACTTCCTAACAGCAGTTCTCAGTGCCAGGCAGCTTCTTCTGGGTGCTCTGGGAAGAGTGAGGCCTCTCAGCTCTTGCTTCTGCTCCACAAGGGAACTGCTGCATGGGAGCAAAAAAGAAAAAGAGCTCATTCCGAGATCAACTGCTAGCAAGGTGAATCCTACCGGTCAGGATAATGTACTACCCAGGGCATAAACCTCTGTAAAGCTGGCCCAGCAGCATGGACAAATGGTGAAATTTCAGATCCAAGAGAGCTGGAAATGTATGGTGGGGCTGTGTCGCACAGTCCCTTCTGTCAGCCCTAGCCTCGCTGCAGGAGGCCACTAACACATCCCTGTAAGTGCTGAACATGGCTTAGGGGCTTGCTTCTGTTGCACAGTTTCCATCATAGCTGGGCATATGTCGTGTTACAGGTGAAATAAGGGCTTTCACTTGAAATACGGGATCCTTGAATGCTGCCAGCCCCGTCCCTCTGTAGGTGTGTGACCGCTTGCTTTCTGCAGGGTGAAGCTGAGATCCCTGTGGCAGAGCAGAGTGCTCAGGCCTGCTTGTTGCACAATCACTAGCAACTGGTGCTGTGGCTGTAGACCTTGCCTCCTGCTCACTTGGCAGGCACCACGCGTGGTGAGGAACAGCATCTCAGCGCGGCTAAACCAAGCTGCTGTTTGTCTTACGACCAAGGCTAAGAAGGCATAATGAAACCAGTGCATCCCTGCAGTTCTGCCGTCCAAAATCACCAAACTGGGGTCTGCTGTAACATCAGTAGTGATGTGAGGAGTGCATGTGAGAAGGCTGGTTCAGTTTTCCTGGTGATGTGTAATCTCTTCTACTTCAGGACTGTTTCAACTAAATATCAGAGAGCTAACAGCAGGTATATCATAAAGGCTCCAAAATCAAAGCTTTTCATCTCCTGTACTAGCTCCTTGCTGCTCTAGGAACGCAGGGTACTTTCAGGCATACTTTTACTGCCTTGATTAAGGGGAAACTTCAGTTCCGTGTGCTGAATATGACTGAAATGTAATTCTAGCAACTAATGCCTCTGAAATGTGCTGTCCGGATACTCTGAAAGGCTGCTGGTTAGCTTCTAGGCGTTGAAACAAGGCACTCTGGAGCTGAAAGGTCTGTATGAACTTCCAGAAAGCATCACGATCTTCTAGTGCTCTCTGGAGAGCACTTACGCTGGTTTAATTAGACTGCTCTCTAAAAACTAATGGATGCTGGGTAGTGTCAGATGTAATTACTGCTGACGTCTTATTTGTGGCTGCTTGAGTGGCAGCAGGGAGGCGAGCAGCGAAAGGGTGCTTGGTTAGAAGGTAGCTGATAATGCATAGAAAGAATAAGAAATAAGTTCCTTGCTCCTTCTAGGAGCCCAGTTTTGTTGGAAACCCCTGGATTAAATGGGTTTTGAGGATGAATATGGGTTGAATATGGGTTCTTACGTCACTAGTGGCTGGATGCTGTGTCACAGCTGCTTGCACTGGCAGATTCTGTTCTTAGAATGGAGAAGTGACGTGGCCATCTAACGAAACTTGTTCAAGTTGAAGCCTGAGGAGCTGATGGTCAGTGCTGGATTGTGTTTAGGTGGTCTGACTTCTTTTTTTTATTGTCTTTAAGCAATGGCAACAAACAGCTGTTGTAAAACTCTGCCTGGGTTGGCCGGAGTAGTGCTGTCCCTGCTGTCTCTTCTCTTGGGCTCCTTGAGGAGGTGATTATCATAGTACCGTAACATCTGGGTTGTCGTGGAGCTGGAAGCCATCGATATGATGGTTCTGTTGCTCTGGAGAGCTCTGCTTGGTGTCCTGCTCTAATTTCTGGGTCAGGTTAAGCAGGAGTCACAGTGGACAGCCTGAACAGGGAAGAGTTTTTCCCCTGAATCCTCAAGAAAGCCAAAGGATCCCAATACAAGTCACTAAAGAGGCACAAGCCCAGAACTTGAAAGCGTCAGAGCAGCTGCGACAACTGCTGTGGGTGTTGCAAACCAGAAGCCACCGGAGCCTTTCTGAGGAAGGGAAACGAGAGGTGAAAGTGGGGGCACTGTGTGGGGCTTGGGGAACTGCTCGGGTTTCTAACCTGATCTGCAGGGCTGCCATCCCTGCTGTGTGTGAGGCACGCTGTCACCTCTGCTGAGCTCTGGGTATGGCTGAATTTGGGGAGCTCAGCTGGGGTGGCTCCCTGGGAAGGCCTTGGGCTGCGTGGCTGCTGCTCTGCAGGCCCCGGGCTGGTTCCTGCAGATGAAAGGAGGCTTGGCAAAGCCTCCGTGTGACTGTGAGCGAGTTGTGTCTCATTCCTGCGTGTGGGGTGGGTGTAGAAGGAATGGGGTAAAGCATCCTGGAGGGTGAGCTGCTGGTGCGGAGCATCTGCTCGGGGTGCTTGCTGGGTGAGCGCCTCGTGGAGCTGGGACCAGGAGGGGACTTCTTGCTCCCAGTTTGCTGGAGAAATGCTGCCCCAGCGCTTCCTGCCGGGCAGCAAAGCCCTCTGCCCCGAGGTTGGGCAGTGTGAATGCTCTCTTTGTAGTTTGGGCCTTTCTGCCATGGTTGTGTAATCCGAAAGGTCCCTGGCCTGCAGTGACCTTTGCAGGATGGAGTAGACCAGTGGTTTTCTGCTCCTCAGCTTCACGTTACTGAAGGGCCTGAGGCTGAGGCTCCTTAGGGGCAGAGCTGATGATCCTGCCCTCTTTTCCAGAAGTGATACTCTTGATGTTTCAGCCTGCAGTGGTCTATAATCATAAACTGGGCCTCGTGTGTTCACAGCATGTGTAATGGCACACACTGCTTTGACCTGGCGAAGCACTACCACCCCATGTCCATACATCCCCACCTCCTGTGCAGGCAGCTACTCGGCACGGAGGGGTGTGAGGACAGCATCTCACCACGGGTTACTTTCTCTGCAGCACTTAAGAAGAAAGCCCACAACTTCGGGACTGGATGATTTGTGTAATCCTTCCCGTAGTTTAGCTGAGGGGAAGCAGTTTCCTTTGGCTTATCGTGCTTTTCCCGGACTCAGCAGTTTGTATTGTTAGCTCTGCTGATTCTGTTTGGACAGTGAAGATAAGTAAGCAGGATGCAAAACACCGAGTGGAAGGGGCTGCAGCTCATACTCCTGCTGTGGTGTAGCAGGACGTGCTCTGGAAGCTCAGCGCATTCCCAAACCCCAGCGAGGAGCTGGGATGCAGCAGGTAGGAATCTTCTTACCATGGCTGGGGTATCCCTCGCTCAGGCGTGAGGAGCTGAGGATAACAGGAACCACTGGTGACAGCCAGAGCCAGCCAAAAACAGGCTGGGTGGAGGCAAAAGGAGGCAAAAACCATCCCGTGAGAGGCTCAGCAGCCCGATGACTGCGTGCTCTGCAGGCTGGCAGAGAGGTTTCTTGCCTGCTGCTCCAGCTTGCAGGTCCCAGATGGCCAGACCTGGGGGAGGGAGCCTCCGAAGCTTTTTGGAAGTGACACCTCACCTTAAAAAGGGCAGCCTCTCAACAGCTCTTCCGCGGCTTTACAGGAGCTTAAAGCGGCATCCGAGCCATCTGTAACGCGAGGGGGTTGCTCAGATGCTGGCTGGGCTGCCGTCAAGTGCCTGTGGGCTCGGTGCTGTGTTTTGTGGCTGGCAGGTAGTACTTGCAGGCGCCTGCAAGTACCTTTTTGTGTGGCAAAACAGCATCAGTCCCATCCCAGCTCTCTGCCTTTCCTCATAATTCATT